GCTCAAAGTTTCTGAGGATAGTAATCTTCATGCCCTAGATGAACAGAACAATATCTTTTGGTCATCAAATATATCGAATGATCACGCAAATAATTCAGTAGCTCAACTTTTAGATATTCTGTTTTCAAATGCTATTGGGGAGACAATCTAGCAGAGTTTGGAATATCCTTCACACATCTTTTAGATATTCTGCTTTCAAATGCTATTGGGGAGACAATCTAGCAGAGTTTGAAACATCCTTCACACTCATTGTTGCCATCAATGCACGTTGATGTGCATAGTAGCTCAGCTTTTAGATATTGCAAATCTTATTCTTCTTTCAAATGCTACTGGGGAGACAATCTCGCAGAGTTTGGAACTTCAGCTTAGGTACTCTACCTCGAAACCTTCCTGAATTTTTCACTTTAGATGGTGATCCCAGCTATAAGATCAAACTCAATTTTCCTCCAATGTGTCTGCAAATTCCTGACTGGCTATAAAAAGGTAATAACCCAGGTTATTACCTTATCTCTAACAAGGTGATTCCTTACTGGTGGTTGTCAAAAATGTCTGTGGTAGGCTTCAGTTCACGAAATCGGTGAAAGTTTCGAAGGGGTAAATTGACCATCTTAAGACAAATTGGATGGTTCCACACACCCAATTGGACTGCTGGAGGGTATTAGGGACCAGGTAAACATCTTGGCGATTTTTTTTTGGGCGAAATAAGGTCAAAATTTCCAAAATTAAAGGCTATTATCCACGGTTTTTGATGAATTTTTGATGTTATAGGGTCCGGTGGTGAAAAATCTTGAGACTTTAGGGGATAAATTTTAGGGTCATATAATGACGTTTGGAACCATATATGACCATTATAGGTTGTCAAAAATGTCCATGGTAGGCTTCATTTCACGAAATCGGTGCAAGTTTCGGATGGGTAAATTGACCGTTATGAGGCAAATCTGATGGTTCCACCCACCCAATTGCACTCCCGGAGGGTATTAGGGACAATGGTAAACATCTCGACAATTTTTCTTTTCGGGCGAAAAAAGGTCAAAAATTCCAAAATTGAAGGCTATTATCCACGCTTTTTGAGGAATTTTTTATGTTACGGGGCCCGGTGTTGAAAATTCTTGAGATCCTAAGGGATATATTTAGGGTCATATAATGATTTTTGGAACCATATGTGACCATTATAGGCTGACAAAAATGTCCGATGTAGGCTTCAGTTCACGAAATCGGTGCATGTTTCGAACGGGTAAATTGACCGTTTTAAGGAAAATTGGATGGTTCCACCCACCCAATTGGACTCCCCTAGGGTATTAGGGACCATGGTAAACATCTCGGCAATTTTTATTTCCGGACGAAAAAGGGTCAAAAAATTCCAAAATTAAAGGCTAATCCACGCTTTTTTACCAATATTAGAGGTTTCAGGATCCGGTGTTAAAATGCTCGAGATACTAGGGGATACATCTCAGGGTCATAATATATAGTTTGGAACCATGTATGGTCATTATATGTTTTCATAAATGAACGAGGTGGCCTTGAGTTGATGAAATCGGCGTAAGATGTAAACGGATAAATCGACAGTTTAAAGGCAAAGTGGATGGTTCCACCTTTCCAAATTGACTCTCGAAGTGTATTAATGTCAATGTGAAGCATCTCGGAAATTTTTTTTTGGGTCAAAAAAAGTTCAAAATTGTCTAAAATTGAAGGTTATAATCCATGCTTTTGGACTAATATTTGAGGTTTCGAGATACGGTGTCGAACATTCTCGAGATACTAAAGGATACATCTCGGGATCATATAATATTGTTTGGAATCATATATTATCATTGTATGTTTTCATAAATGTCTGAGGTGCCCTTGAGTTTATGAAATCAGTTTAAGTTGTAAATTGGTATATTGGTAATTTAAAGGCAAAGTAGATGTTTTTACTTACCTAAATTGACTCCCGGAGTGAATTTGATTCTATGGGAAGCATCTCGGCATTTTTTTTTCTCGAGTAAAAAAAAGTTCAAAATTGTATTAATTGAAGGTTATAATCCACGCTTTTGGACCAATATTAGCGGTTTTAGGTGTCGAAAATTTTGGAGATATTAGGGGATACATCTCGAGGTCATATAATATCGTTTGTAACTATATATGATCATTAATTGTTTTCATAAATTGCCGAGGTGGCCTTGAGTTAATGAAATCGATGTAAGTTATTGGATAAATTGACAATTTAAAGGCAAAGTGGATGGTTCCATCCACCTAAATGACTCCCGGAGTGTATATATTGGGGTCTTTGGGAAGCATCTCAACAATTTTTTTTAGCGGGTCAAATTTTTTTTAAATTTTTTCAAAATTAAAGGCTATAATCCAAGCTTTTGGACTAATGTTAAAGGTTTTGGGATCCGGTGTCAAAAATTCTCGAGATACTAGGGGAAAAAACGCAGGGTCATATAATATCGTTTGAAACCATATAAGATCATTATATGTTTTCATAGAATTCCGAGGTGGCCTTGAGTTAATGAAATCGGCGTAAGTTGTAAACGATTTAATTGAGAGTTTAAAGGCAAAGTGGATGATTCCACCTATCCAAATTGACTCCCAGAATGTATTGGGTATTTGGGAAGCATTTCGGCAATTTAATTCTCAGGTAAAAATAAGTTCAAAATTGTCCATAATTGAAGGCTATAATCTACGCTTTTGGACCAATTTCGAAGGTTTTGATACCGACATTGAAAAATCTTGAGATATTAAGGAATAGATCACGGGGTCATATAGTGTCGTTTGAAACCATAAATAATCATTTGTGTTGTCATAAATGTCCATGGTGCTTTGAGTTAATGAAATCGGCATAAGTTGTAAACTGGTAAATTACTAATTTAATGGCAAAGTGGATAGTTCCATCCACGCAAATGAAATCGCGGAGTGTATAGGGGTCTATAAGCTTCTCAATAAAAAAAATAATAATAAAAATAATAAAAATCTTTAAAAAAAAAAGTCCAAAAGTGTCCAAAATTGAAGGCTAATCCACGCTTTGGACTAATTTAGGGGGTTTCGAGACCCGGTGTCGAAACCACTCTAGATAATAGGGGAAATATCTCGGGATCATATAATATTATTTGGAACTACACACACACACACACACACACACACACACATATATATATATATATATATATATATGTCATAAATATCCGTGTTGCCTTGAGTTAATGTAATTGGTATAAGTTGTAAATAGGTAATTTGATAGTTTAAAGGCAAAGTAATTGGTTTCACCCATCCAAATGGGCTCTTGTAGTGTATTGACATTTTTTCCGTTCAAAATTTAAGGTATAAACCAAGCTTTTGGAACAACTTTGGAGGTTTCGCGATCCGGTGTCAAAAAATCTCACGATATAAAGGGATATACCCTTGGGTCATATAATGTCGTTTGGAACGATATTTGATCATTATATGATGGGTGTTGGTATTGAGTTAATGAAACCGACGTAAGTTGTAAACAAGTAAATTGAAAGTTTAATGGCAGCGCAGATTGTTCCACCCACCCAAATGGACTCTTAGGGTGCATTAGGGTACACGAGAAGCATTTCAGTTAAAAAAAAAATTCTAGTCCAAAAAAAGTTCAAAATTAAAAGCTACTCCCTCCGTTTTTAAATATTTGCCCCACTTTTCTTTTCCGACCGTTTTAAAATACTTGCTCCATTTCCTCTTGTGGAAATCTTTTACTATATTTAATTCATTTCTCACGCTTAGTGGACCCAACATAATATTCTCTCTCCTCCTATTCTTCCACTACTTTTGCTTTTTACAATTTTTTAATTTTTTCAACTACTTCACTACCTCTATATTTTAATACTTTCTCCAATTTTTCCTAAAACTCCGCGCATAGAAAAATGGAGCAAATATTTAAAAACGGAGGAAGTATTATCTATGATTTTGGACTATTTTGTATTTTAATTTTTCAAAAATAAAATGATTGCATTGGGGTGTCCCTCAAGGTCGTATAAGTTGGTTTAGGTTGTACGAGGACTATAAGACCGAGTTTAAATTTGTTTCATTTACATACGACCATTTTGGAGTTTTGGACTATACTTAAATTTTGATAGGCGCCTCACACTTGCCATATTTTTTTTAGGAAAATGCTATAAATAGGTCTAAGGGCTACATATAAACATTAAATTTACACTTAAAAATCGTTAAAAGTTAAGAAATCATAAAAATATAACACTAATTATACTAATTTACGCGTGTTTTTGTCATGAATTCCCAACTTTGTATAATTTTGAAGAATGCTTTTAATGCTTATATATAGCCCTTAGGGCTACATATAGCTAGAGCTGTCAATTCGGGTAAACGGGTCGGGTTTGAGTCGGGTTAATGTGAGTCGGGTCAATATGGGTTAATGTCATAACATACGCGGGTCGGGTTCGGGTTGGGTCATGCTTAAGTCGGGTTACGTCGGGTCATATATCTTATTGGGTTTGGGTCGGGTATAGGTCGGGTTACATTCGGGTCGAGTGAAAAATAGGTCGGGTTAAATTCGGGTCTTTACGGGTTTAAACGAGTTAGGGTCGTTCTCGAGTTCGAGTCGGGTTCGGTTCAATTCAATTAATTACGGGTTATAATCAGGTCGGGTCATTCTCGGGTTCAAGTCGGGTTATAATGAAGTCGGGTCGACCCAAAATCAACCAAATTCTAGGGAAAACATGTTTCGTCCTTGAAATTCGTGCCTAAAAACATGTTGTGAAACTAACCTCTTAAAATTCAAAGTGAAATATTGAAAGAATAGAGTTAGGATTCAATTTTCGTTCCAATACCAACATGAGATAACGACCTATACATATTAATTTAATAACAAATCGGGTTGAATTTGGGTCGGGTCAATAACAAGTCATGTTGATTCGGGTCGGGTTTGTAACAGGTCGGGTTGAAATTCGAGTCGGGTTTGTAGCAGGTCGGGTTAAATTCGGGTCAGGTTAGGAACAGGTCGGGTTGAATTCGGGTCTGGTTAGGAACAAGTCGGGTTGAATTCGGGTTTTGACGGGTTAAAACGGGTTTGGGTCAATTTCGGTTCAGGTCAATAATTTACGGGTTACATTAGGGTCGGGTCGTTTCTAGGTCGGCTAATGTTCGGGTTCGGGTCTCAAATACTCGGGTCATTTCGGGTCTAGGGTTGGTTTCAGGTCGGGTTTGGGTCACCATTTTTTTCGGATTCAGACGGATCGGTTAATAGGTCGGGTTAAGGTCGGTATTTCGGGTCGGGTCAGCTTTTTACAGCTCCACATATAACATTACCTTTTTTTTTTTTTTTTTATATATATATATATTACTGTACTGTTACACCTGCAGTATTGCAGTATTCTGCAATCACATTTAACACATTCAGAAATCATAAAGATTAGATTTTTGGAATTGAAAGCCACAAGATAGACCCACAAAACTTCCCCCAAAAGAAGATACCATCCACTCCATTCTCTCCATATGCACAAGACAAGTTTAACGAAGCCTAATTCCAGACAAATGGGAGTTTCTCTCTCCTCCCTAAATTCATCTTCAGCATCCACTCCATCATTCTCAATCATAGAAGAACATGAAGAACACCAATCCAATCATGGCAATCAACTCGAACCCAAGTCACCCAAAAAGCTAGCTCTCCTCCCTTTAATCTTCCTCATCTACTTTGAAGTTGCCGGCGGGCCGTACGGCGAGGAACCCTCAGTAAGATCAGCCGGCCCGCTGTTAGCCATCTTGGGCTTCTTAATCTTCCCTTTTATATGGAGCATCCCAGAAGCTCTGGTCACGGCGGAGCTAGCCACCACCTTCCCCGGCAACGGTGGATTTGTGATCTGGGCTCATAAGGCTTTTGGGCCCTTTTGGGGCTCTCAAATGGGGTTCTGGAAATTCCTGAGTGGTGTCATTAATCTAGCTTCTTATCCTGTTCTTTGCATTGACTATCTGAAACTGGCAATTCCTGCTCTATCTTCTGGATTTCCTCATTATTTGGCAATTTTAATGTCAACTTCTGTGCTGTCATTTCTGAATTATACTGGGTTGACTGTTGTTGGGTATACTGCAGTAACTTTAGGGTTGATTTCATTGTTGCCATTTATTGTCATGTCTTTGATTTCGATCCCTAATATTGATCCTGCAAGATGGATGAGTTTAGGCGAAAAGGGTGTAAAAAAGGATTGGAGATTGTTCTTCAATACACTGTTTTGGAACTTGAATTTTTGGGACAATGCAAGTACTTTAGCTGGGGAAGTGGATAATCCTCAAAAGACTTTTCCAAAAGCTTTGTTTTCAGCTGGGATTCTCACTTGTTTGGGTTACTTGGTGCCTCTTTTGGCTGTCACTGGATCAATTCCTCTTGATCAAGAGAAATGGGTTGATGGGTATTTCGCTGATGCTGCTGAAATCATTGCTGGGAAATGGCTCAAGGTTTGGATGGAACTTGGTGCTGTTTTATCAGTCATAGGTCTGTTTGAAGCTCAATTGAGCAGCTGCGCTTACCAATTTCTCGGGATGGCAGATCTTGGGATCGTTCCAAAGTCTTTTGGGGTTCGATCCAAACAGTTCAGCACCCCTTGGGTTGGGATTCTAGTCTCCATGGTCATAGCAATTGCTATCTCATACCTCGACTTTACCGATATAATTTCGTCTGTCAACTTTCTCTATAGCTTGGGGATGTTGCTAGAATTCGCCTCATTTCTCTGGTTGAGGAGAAAAATGCCAGCAATAAAGAGGCCATATCGAGTTCCATTGGAGATGCTGGGGTTGGTGATCATGTGCTTCATACCATCTGTGTTTCTTATCTATGTAATGGTAGTCGCGAACAGAACTGTGTTCATTGTGAGTGCCTTGTTGACTCTACTTGGGATATTGTGGTATTTTCTTATGAAAATCTGTAAAACAAGAGGTTGATGTACATTTAATACTGATCAAAGCAGTGAGGAAGAACACCATCTTGTTCCTAAGCAGGCTGTGGTTGGCTTATCAGATGAAAGTTAACACCTAAATACCTTATTCAGTCGTTTGGGAGTACAGATTGAACACTATTTGAGTCATGGATGTACCCCACTGTAATTTGTTGCATACAATGATACAATACGTAGGCTTGTGGGTTATTTTATTGGTAAAGATTTGTTATTTTATTTGCATCAAGACAATCATGATTTAAGAAGAACCAGACATCGTAAAGGGGCTATTTTGTCCAAAATTAAATAGGCTTCTTTCAGAACAAAAAGTTACACGAAGCATACAGGTTTCCTCATCTCAGGGAGTTAAAAAGGCATTTAAGAAGCCATACTACTTGTAGTCATGTAACATATTTCGTATAAGACCTTGTTAGACCAACCAGTGGAGGTTGCATTAGTAGTAAAATACAAACCTGCAACCTTAACTACACAACCTTGTTTCATAAAGCTACATTCATACCATTTCATTTAGCATCAAAATAGAGACATCTAAAATTCTAAATAGTCAATGAATCCATTCAAATACCACAACTAGCTTCTTAACAATATTTTAAAATCAGGCTCGGATATTTGAAAGACAATACCTATGTCAAACCACATATCCACTTCTCAATACATTGTCTGAAAACAGTTTTACAGCTTGACAAGTCAGATATCTGCTCCCATAGTTGGAAAGCTTACTCAGTTCTCTTCATCAACAAGAACAACCTCTGGTCCAGCTGAAAATTTTTGCTGACACTCTTGTCTACCCTCATCATCATTAAGAGTCCACCAAATGACACAAATATCTCTCTGCAAAGTAAATACACATACCACAATGTTAAGCTACACACAATTAAAGAGAAAAAAAGTTTACAGAGAATAAGAAAATAAAGATAGATCATCTGAAAACCAACCCCTTCTCTTGTCCTTCATAATCAATATCAGTTATGCGATAAGTTCTCCCATGCATGACATAATCGTATCTGTCTGCTAGTGTTTCCCTTGAGGTCTGAAATAAAGACAAGCTGTTAATTAATCTTCAAGTATAGTACTGGAAGATTAGTATTTAGTAGAAGAACCGAGCTTTTCAATCATACCAAAACAAAAGCATATTTCCTAAATCAATGGCTTTAAGCCCATGGCCAATAAATGGACTGATAGTTTAGTAATAAAAGGGTAATTTCATGCTAATAACCATAGTCCAAAATAAATGCATCAATTACAAGGAATCAGGACTTCAGATTCTACCAGCCCTTCATCATCAAAGTTGAAAAACCCATCAACACTCTGCTGCCTAAGGCCCTAAAATTAAAACCTGAATACTTATCACTAGGACACTTCAGATTGAGACATTAAACATTACTACTTTAGCATAGAAAAAAAAAAGGCAATATCAGCTAAAATCAGCTCTGTCAGCGGTAAGCACTAAAACACAGTTACACACATCACAATATCAACTACATCAGCTGCAAGCACTAAAGCACATGCTAGTAAACACATTTTCACTTCTCACAAGATATGCACCAAATCATATCCTACTATGACTCATAGACCAAGTAAATGACATTATTTCCAATTGCCAAAGACATAACAAAACAAAACAAAACAAAGTTCACCCTTTTTGACAAAACAGTTTCCAGTTTATAAATCTGAAGCCATTTCCAAATATGCTTGTGACTATCTCCAATTTACTCAGGCCTATAAACAGGTAACATATACATGAAATGGGAAACACTCCATCAATAAGAACAACTCAATTTTCCTCCAACTAAGTCTTATCTTCAACAACTACACACTAGTTGAAGTGATTACAAATGCAATGAAGCAACATATCAGTGGCAATTAAAACATATTAGAAAGAACAAGGTGAGGTTGAGCAACGCAGGAAGAAGAAAGCAATAATAAGACGTTACCTGGTTGTAAAAGCCAGAGTCAGCAACCCCATCAAGATCAAGAGTGGTTGCTAATCCAATGGTATACCTCTTATCTTTGTTGATACGATACACGTCTATGTTAATATCGAGCAATATGAACGCATCAAACTTGTCACTCTGTGCTTCAATTCGAGAAACTACACGCAACAAAAGCAAGAAATACTTAAATTTTTTTCTCGGTTCACACTCAATTGAATACTTCATATGAAATAGGATACTGGGTAAAGTAGGCATAAACTTTATGGGTAATTGATTTTAGTTAATCTAAGGTTAATATAAAAAAATCAATTTTAACAAAAAAGCAATTGAGTAAAAAAAAAAATTAGGGTTCTAAAACATGAAAAGGAGGTACCTTTGTCGAACTTCTTGCCATCAGGATCAATTTTGAGAATCTTGAAGATATCCTCGAAGAGAAGCGGCGCCATTGCTAGTTATAACAACAAGAATTAAGAAACCCACACAATAGCTCACATAACTATTGGAGAATAAAGATTAATTTCAACAAACAAAGAGGCTTTTAAGCAGTTTCTGGAAAACCCAAATTCAATTGAAAGATGAGAAAGAATTACTTACCCTATGTCCGGTAATGAAGGGTTTTTCTGACTTGAAGAGAATGAATACAAAGCAGTGAAGACTGAAGAGAAAACCAATGTCGCGTAAAAATATACTCCTATTTCCGCTGGATTCACTTGTTTTTATTGGTCCTTTTTTATTTAATTAATTATTTATTATATTAATTGTCATACGATGGCTAGGGCATTAACGGCTTAATCACATTTATTGAACTGGACTGAACTGATTGGAGCTGATTTGAACAAAACAGAGTGGAGCTTAACTGAAGAATTGAATATAGCTGAAATGAATATTTTATGAGAGAAGGAAATTAAAGATGAACTGAACTGAACTGAACTGAAATTAAGCTGAAGTGAACAGACCTTAATTGAAAGAAGCCCCGTCATCATAAACAACTAAATGTAAGCCCGTGCGATGCACGGTTTTTTAAATATTTCATTTTGTATATATTTTTTTTTTTTTGTAATTTCTTAATATTTTTTTGTTTTTATTTTCTATTCTATTATTTTAACATTAATTTAAGGTAAAATATTTTGTTAAGTTTTAAATTATTCTTATTCAAATTTTACGTATATAGAACTTGAATATATAAATTGAAATAAACATTATCTCATTCATCGGATAGTTAGATAAAATCATTAAATCAAAATATATTTTTTAATTTCTAATTATTTGTTAAAATAATATAAATCCTAATGTAAAAGATAATATAAAAGATAATTTTTGTTTTTTTTTTCATAATTTAAATATTAAATTACTATTTTTTGTTTTCAATTCTCAAATTTCATTTGTTAAATTTTTCTTAAATGGCGACTGAATATTAAAATTCTAAATTAATTATAAATCTAATTTTTCATTGGTCGAAATATTACTTTTGCTTATGAGGCGTGCAATGCACGAATTTTTATATACATTTTGTATATAAATATTTTTGTGGTGATCTCTTAATTTTTTTCTTGCATTATAAGTTTTAAAATTTTGTATGAAAGTATCATATCATCAGATATTTAGTTTTGTAACAAATAAAAATGATAAAATTTAGTGTTCTTAAATAATTAAAATCCTAATAAATTACTATTCGTCGTTTTTACCTAAGTGACAAAAATTTAAAATTTCATTCGTCACTTTTGTTTAGGTCGCGAGTGATTTTTTTAATTCTAAAATAAAATAAAAATCTAATTTTTGATTAAAAAAAAAATCAACATTTTCATAAGTAAATTAACATTTATGAGCCCACAGTAAAATTTATGTCTAACCTTTATGGTGCAATAAAAAAAGAACAAAAAAATGAATACTATTAACAAGCAGTAACAATATTTTGCATTATTGGACGATTAATACTATTATGTGTAACATAATTTTGTTATTAATTTATTTATTATGAAGTAATTGTATAAGATTTTTAAGTTACTAGTTACTAAGTGCTTCATTCTAATTATCCAAGTCAAAAACATATTTTCATTGTTACAAGTTAGAGATAGAATCTGTTTTTTCAATTAAAAATTAGTATTGCCCTTAATTATTTAATAATAAAAAAAATGAGTTACAACTTACAAGTATTTTGATTGTTTGAACGTTAAGTTATTCATACTATTAATTAAAAGGGGATAACGTACTATAATAAAGGAGAACTAAATAAATACGAGTAAGTGATTATTCCTTCAAAAAAAACGATTATTGAATAACAAATATACAAGGCTTAGACTGAAATTGAAAGGAGGAAAGAATTGCATGACCTGCCGTTGTTGCTAATCTATTGCTAAATTTCCTAAGGAATTCCAAACAATCTATGCTAATGTATGATCAAATATTCACCAAGCCCTTAAATGTTGGCTGACTTTATTGGAGGAAGATTATTTCAACAAGGTAAAGAACTCAAAGCAAATTTAACTACCATATTATTGAACTCTAATAAAGGATTAGCCTGATAACCAACCAGCAATTTCGCAACTGCACCAAGCTTAAGAGAAATGGATCAACAACTAAGGTTAAAGGGAGAAGAACCAGAAATAGGGGATCTGATAACTTTTCTTGTCAAATCAGGGCATGGAGTGAAAGGTTTATCCGAGATGGAGTTGAAGGACTTGCCAAAGCAGTACATACAATCTCAATCAGAGAGGCCCTCTGTAATATGAAGATCATGGAAGAGGCATCGATCCCCATAGTCGACGTGTCCAAGTGGGATGACCCAACAGTTGTAAAATCAGTATGTGATGCTGCTCAGAAGTGGGGATTCTTTCAAATCATCAACCATGGGATACCACTTGAAGTACTTGAGAATGTGAAACGAGCAACTCTAGCATTCTTTGCCTTGGCGCCAGAGAACAAGAGGAATTATTTAAAGGAGAACTCTCCCACCAATCATGTGAGGCTAGGCACTAGCTTTATACCCGAGGCTGAGAACGCCTTAGAATGGAAGGATTACCTTAGCCTTTTTTATGTTTCCGATGATGAGGCTCTTGCTATTTGGCCTGCTATTTGCAGGTAACTAACTATTAATAAGCTGCACTATGCAATCACTAATATAAGTCATGACTCATGAGAACACTAAATTCAGCAATATAATCATCTTTATTACCTTCAATGTTTAGGGACCAACTTCTGGACTACATGAACAAGTGCCAAGTTGTAATTAAGTTCCTTTTACAAGTCTTGATGAAAGGACTCAACATCCATGAGATCAACGAGAATAAATGGTCACTTCTTTCAGGTTCCAAAAGGATTAATCTCAACTTCTACCCAAAGTGTCTAAAACCTGAACTTACAGTAGGAGTAGGGCGGCACTCAGATGTGTCCACCTTTACCATCCTCCTGCAGGACGATATTGGTGGACTCTACGTTCGAGCACCTGATGGAGAAAGCTGGGTCCATGTGCCACCTATCTCTGGGGCACTGGTAATTAACATTGGTGATGCGCTGCAAATCATGAGCAATGGCAAGTACAAGAGCATAGAACACCATGTAATAGCAAATGGAAGTAAAGATAGGGTTTCAATTCCCCTGTTTGTGAACCCAAAACCTAGCGAGGTGATCGGACCTCTAAAGGAAGTTTTAGTACAGAGTGATGAGAAACCCAAGTACCGGAAGGTGTTGTATTCTGATTATACTTTGTACTTCTACAAGAAAGCTCATGATGGCAAGGGAACCCTTGATTGTGTTAAGATATGATCTTTCCAGGCATGAGAAAAACAATTCAGAACTGAATGAAAAAGAATACAGGATTACTTTTTAAGACCTATAAGCTTGGATACAAATGTAATTATTATTAAATCTTGATTGTATTGTATTACAGAGTATGTATTTGAACAATAATTGAAGTTTAAGTTACAAATGCTTGTATATAGTAATTATAAAGTAATAAAGATGTTGATGCTTGATACAGCCAGTACCTATACCAAATTTTCATCCCACTCAGCTTACAGATCAAGTCTTTGCTCGGTATAAATAATCGATGCAAGTGTCAAGATTTAAGCAGCCAGACGATTTAGGTCATTTATCAGACACATTAAACAAATGTACGATAAGCAAACACTGCTTTCTCTTATTCAATAATTGCACGATTTTAAATAAACATATATGACATCATTATTCTGTTGCAGTAAAGAGCAATAACATGTTGCATTGCTGAACTACTTAATCAAACACTGATTTCCTATACCAGTATACATTTTCCGATCCAACACTTATCTATATTTTATACCATCATGGTGGAGGGACATATATACTTACTGAAATGCAAAGCAAGCACAGCTCATTACTTCAAATCCGGCTTCTTACTGATAAATCTTGCTTCACTTGTTCTCTCAATACTCGCCTCAGTAATTTGTTTGTGACAGTTCGTGGAAACTCCGGAAGAATTTTCACCAAGCTCACCTGCCAGTCAATAATTAGGTGAAAAAAGTCTTATCAAATTGACAACTAAAGTTGTGCTTTTCTGAAGCTTTCTTAATTTCCATACTCTGTCGCTGCATTACCACTATTCAAGGCATAAAGAGAAACGAAATTATTCAAGCAAAGGAGATACCACACCTTAAAAAGAGGATTAAGGCTACGCTGAATTGCTTTTGAGAACTGTATCCTTAGCTTTTCTGGATCAGCATTGATTCCGTCCTTTAGAACCACACATACAACCAGCAGTTCAGGACCACCTTGTGGTGGAGCAGCACCAACTGCTGCAGTCTCCAACACCCTGTCATCAGCCTGGTTGCATGCCCTCTCAATTTCAACAGAACTTGTCTGCACCAAACAAAAAAAAACTTCTTACGTGTATAATGGTTATTTTACAAGCACACCATCGATCATTCTACCCCCCAATCATTACAACACAAGTTCTGTAAGTCCAGGATAAACTCATAAATTTACTGTACCTTGATACCACCAAGATTCATGGTATCATCAGCCCTGCCCTGTACAACAAAGTACCCTCCAACACTTCTCTTAACAATATCTCCATGTCTCCTGAGGTGCTGCATACATAAAACTCACAAGTCAAAGCTGTAAATGATTAAAAAAAAAAAAAAAAACCAAGGCCAGGCCACGGAGCAATTGGGTCTTGTATGGATTTTAATTGGTAAGGTTCATCTAGTCCTCTTGTCTTCTTTTTTATTTTTTAAAACATATTTAGATTGTTGACAAAACCAAGTCCAGCCTCTCCACAAGTTTTGAACCAAGCGTGAGTGCAAGATTGAGCTTATTGAGCCAAGCCTAAATCTGATAAGCACGGGATAAGCTTGACTCATTCACCCTCTCAACCTCCACCCCCCCCCCCCCCACCCCAAAAAAAAAAAAAAAAAAAGATGCAGAAATCATTCAGTTTCAAAAGACAGCACTCATGCGCAACAAGTCTAGTAATAAACCAAGTTTTCACAGGTTAAGATATATTTGGTGTTGCAAAAATAAGAACATAAACATATATTTTCTACGAGGATTCATAGCAAAAAAGAAAGAAAGTTCAAAGCTTTATAAAGTTAAAAAAAAAAATAAAAAAAAAAAAGAAAAGAAAGGTATCAACTCTGCTTTCTGTACTTTTTGATTATATCAAGCATTAAAGTAGTTCATTTGTAAACCATGTCTTTGGGTTGGAATCAGAAGATCAATCAGCCATGCCTCAGTTCATGATTAGTGTTTAGATATCTAACCAGCATAAAATTATACAGTTTTATGTTGGAAGAAGCATATACCATTCCTTTGTATAGAGGCATTCCCTTGAAATACACCTCATTATGATCAGCATTCAATAATCTGTCTGTTGCTCCTGGAAGCAAAGGAAATAAAGCCACTTCACCTTCACATGATTGATCATCTGGCTGCAAAATGATATATTACATATTATAAGTGGTTTTAGCTTGGCATGATAATCAATAGAATATCTGTACAGTGCAGATTGACCTATAAATATTAAATAATTAAACCTAGAAGATGCTTACATAAGGATTGCCACAATCATCAAGGATCACAAATCCTGTGGACATTGTTGGAGTACTGAATGTCCCAAAGGCTTGCGGTTGCAGCAGACTGCCTTGAACATAACTTCCTGCTAGCTCTGTGCCTCCACAACATTCAATGACTGGTTTATAATAAGCCCTTGATGAAAGCCAAAGGTCATCATCTACATTGGAGGCTTCTCCAGAGGAAGCAAATGCTCTACACAGGATCACAGACAGTCTTCTTGAGTACAGAACCACCAATTGACGAAATAAAATTATAGAGTTGAGTGTGAATACTACCTTATTCTTGTCCAATCTAGACCATCCATACAATGTGTATTTCTCCAAGTCTTCACAAGACTTGGCACAGTTCCCAATAAAGTAACCCTAGCATCCTGAAGTTAAGCAAGCTTCTGAGTTACACCTCTAATAGCATACTACTATGCATAAACAAGTTTACGCATCCTCATAAACAATATATCTCCTCAAGCACCAAAGACCAAAAGGCATTGTTGGTCTGTAAGATTTATTAGTAAGAGGTAGAAAGCCTAAAGCCAAACCTGAACAAATTTTCCAAAACCCCGCCCAAGAGGTGATCCATGATATAGAGCAAGAGTTGCACCGCTCAAAAAGCATCCATAGAGCAATATAGGTCCCACCACCCATCCTAAATTTGTCGGCCAGCACATGACATCTCCAACTTGAACATCTGAGTGTGCCCATGAATCAGCAGCAGCTCGGATTGGAGATAGCTGAGTCCAAGGTACGGCCTTTGGATCCCCTATTTTTCAAAGATTTATCAAGATCACATAGCACAACAGATACATAGGGTAAAGGTAGTTGATAAGTCAAGCCAATCATCAAATCACTTACATATAAACATATCCAGAGAATATTAAAGGGGGGTGTATGTGGGGGAAGAGTTTATGGTGCTTATTAATGATAATATCTCCTTACCAGTTGTCCCAGATGAGAAGAGTATGTGGGTTATAGAATCCACTGGTTGGTACACTGGGGAGTATTCGTGAGGTCTGTGCAAAATGAAATAAAAATAAGACCAAACTTGAAATGAATAATAAGTAAAGGGATAGGAAGAAAAAAAAATGCGCACACACCAAAGGGAACAAATGCACTCAAACCTACCAAATGCCTAGCTAGCCTGTTCTGCAGCAATCACAATTAAACATTACTTTGCCACTAACCAGCTTAGACATTTTTTCTTTAAAACAGTTACAATGATTTGTTTTCAGGTAGATGAGGTTAAACCAGCCAGGAATGTTCTTTCAAGACTAACTCCCATCCTAAAGGTCTGCAATACATCACACCCCATTCACTCCTTACACCTTATATTATCAGTCCAATTACATTTTCTAATTCCACCTTATCTGTCAGCTAAAATAATAAGGTGATACTGCTAGCTAGTTTAAACCACCAATATAACATTGCAAGAACGAAAACAAAGCCTTAGTCCCAATATGATTTGGAGTTGGGTAACATGAATCATTCAAGGAATCATTCTGTGAAAAGTTAAACAAAATTAGTACAGAGATCCAATGTAATAGTACTTGTCAAATTATATACCAATAAATACATAAACATCTCCTTGATTTGTGTGAATAACCCCTCTAAAGATATGGTGTATCAATTTTGAAATGGAGGGAGTACCTCGTGGTCTGGCCCCCTCGCGCTAGAAAATCTTTCCACAATATGTCCTGTTTCCTTAATGACACATCTACAGATTCCTCCACAGCTGGGACCACAATAGCAATGCATGGAGAAGCTTCCAAAACTCGGCTACAATGGTTGAAATAACCATAGTTCATCAAACACAAAAGTTGCTTCCAAATAGAGTTGATTACCATGCAAAATCAAGAATTAATACAGAGAAGAGGCATTTACCTATATAGAGGAAATCTTCGACCTCCTCTTAAGATATAATCCTGATATAAGATAAGAAACCTTAATCATTGCCAAAAAGTAGCACCATAGATATGCAATACAGAAAACAAGGAGTATCCAACAAATTAATTCGACCAAGCACTTTACCAACATAACTCCTGTATACCTTTCATCTTTATGAGTTAAAGTAACATCCTAACTAGAACTCTGTTCACTCACTTGAAACTAGGCAATAAGCAAATGTTGCAGCAGCGTAAGTAAGAGTATACACATTAAAGATAATTGAAAACAGACCTGAGTAAAGATACCCTTAGCTTTGGAAATACGCAAACGAGTAGCAATTTCCTTTGCAGCAAAACTATCAGCAATTGATACAACAATACGACCTGACAGAATTATTGCCAGATATATGATCACTGCATCAGGAGTCATTTGCATATCAATTGCAATGACATCACCCTTAGCAAAAGTAGCATCCAAAGCATTAGCAACCAACCTGCAAACCATGTTATAAAAATCTGAGCCCCAATAAATAGATAAAAATGAAGAAAACAAAGACGAATTTGGTTATGTAAGAGCATACATTACTTGTTCTCGTAGTTGTTTCAAAGTCAATTGCTGAACAGGCAAATGATCAGCTACTTCAGCTCTCCATACAATAGCCACACTGCTATCCATTTTCCTAGGATGACTTATAGGTAACAAACAACACTCGGCTATATTAAGAACAGCACCGGGAAACCACACTCCACCGGGTTTCGAGTTGTCTGTATCATCAAGTATACGCCTTGGCGGTTGACGAAACCAAATTGAAAGTTCCTTTAGAACCAAGGACCAATAAATCTGAAATATAACATGAAACAAAGTAGCTGATTACTGATTGCAATGCTTAGATTTGATACAATTTCTGTGAATAGTTTAGGAAGAAGAGACCTCAGGATTATCAACAGTGAACTTTTGAAAGGTGGAAAAACTAGTAATAGGATCCTGGTATGACTTCCCCAATAGCCTAGGACAATGAGCTTCCATCAAACGACCCAAATTTGTATAGCAAGATTCATACCTGCCAAGTAAATCAGATAGCGTAATTTGAATTAATAATGCGACAACTAAATCCGAAGAAACAATACTCCGTAATAATATAATAGTGAATAAAAAAGAACATACGGGGAAGGGAACCAGTAAAGAGGAGGACCGAGGACAGAAGAGTCCCAATGAGAGTAGAGCGTGTTGAAGAGGAAGAGATGAAGAGAGTGAGGGTGTTGGGGTTTAAGCAGCTTTCTGGCGACCACTTCACGCCACACCTCAGCCGGAGCACGGGTGACATCAGCACTGGATATTATATGTTGAAGGGTCTCATAAAAGATGTCGGCTTCTTCAACACTCAACCCAGCGGAAATCAGTTGGTTTCTTTGAATCAAAATCTCCATTATAATCTGTTTTTAAAATTTCTGAGATGAAAAGTATAGAATAGAAAGAAAAAGAGAGAGAGAGAGAATAGGAGATGAAGAAGAAGGGGGTTGCCACGTGAATAGTTGATAAATCACAGCATTGACCACTGCTTAATGCTGAATGGCTGATTATACACAAGTTTATATTCTTGGATATAGGAATAGAGGTAGGTAGAGATGACTATTTTATTTTATGTGTTGGTATCAACTACGAGTATAATGAGCAACAGCCAACAGAGCTAGTAAACTACGGACTAGAAATATCACATGGAATAATATTTAATTTATGCGAAATTAAATGCCTGATATTACTCCGTATCATATTAGTGATATGAAATGACGTATTCCGGTATTTGCCAATATACTCTTTGTGAAATTCATGGTCAACTCCCGTTTAAAATAATTATATATGGTCAATTCAAAGGCATGTATTTAGACAAATTATAAATATTGCCCATCAATTTGGAATGAAATACGAGTAAATAAATAAATAGCACTAGAGAGTAAGCTATATTAGCGTGCCTCCAACACTAACAATATTTCAATAATTCTGTTCAATTCAATTCAGCTCTAATCAGTTCAGTTCAGTTTTTAATTTTCTTATCATAAACAATTCATTTCAGCACTATTCAGTTCAACTCCAATCAGTTCAATTCAGCTCAATAAATCAAAACAAGCCCTAAGTTCAACCCAAACGGACAAACATGAGTAACAACATGTTTTTAGAAACCTTCGACTAGTTGTTGCTACAATTGTACAAACCTCTAGAATTAGCTAACATACGTACAAAGGAAGTAAGTTCCAAGATATCCCAAATCTTTAATCTTTCATTGCTCCTTTTATTTTGCAAACCGATGCGTCCATTCAGCAGCAAGTTCATCATGCCTTTTCCTATCAACCTGGTATAAGTGTGCAATGGAAGGCACCAGAGCATTGTCTGCAGACAACACTTGTGTCAATATTTATCTCAGGCCAATAAGTTGGATGCAAACAGTACAGAGAACAACAGCAAGTGTGCCAAACATGTTATATCAAACAAAAACAAAAATCATAAAGTGTGCCGTGTATAACACATTTATTTTCTAAAAAGTATTTTTCTTAAACACCTTAAAAGCTCTAGTTACTATAAAAACAATTACAGAGCTATCTTAAAGCAATTGAGCCATCACAAGTTTTAATCAGAGCCAAGAGTAGCTTAGATGTGAAGAAGCCAAGGGCCATGTGAGATCCCTAGTCCCTAAACCATGTCCAATCTGAAGCAGTCAGCAACAGAGAATCTGATAGAATACACCTACTGTGAATATGCATACCGAATTCACAGAGTGCTGACTCAAAGAGAAAGAGGCATTCTGCCAAGGGAAGCCTTAGAGCCTTTTCACCAGTACCTAGACTTTCAGAAAATGGAAGCCTTAGCTTTATTGGAGACAAAATACAAGATCTGGCCTCTGAATGGTACTAGCCTCCCACTCACATATATCAACTTGTAATGAACCAACCTAAAGAGTGAGGTGATGAACCTATTTGTCTCACCCGAGCCACCAATATGGGTTTACATGAGGAGGAATCAACATGAAAGAGGAGGAGAAAAGCAGCAGCAATAAAAGGGGGGTAGAAGACACTTAAGCAAAAGAAGACAAAACTAATTAAGCATGGAACTGAATTCTGATACTCTTGATCAGTAGAGGACAAACAGTCAAATACAATATTAGGTTATTTTTTTGTAGGTTTGATTGATTATAAAAAGGAAGTAGTATAGCAGTAGAATGGTGATGTTTGTGAGCTAAAGTGAGTGTGGAGACTTGCAGCCTAAAGCTGCTAACTTGTAAAAAATCATTTGTTATCAATGAAAGCTTCAACCTTTCCTCTTAGTCAATCTATTTCGGGTTGAAGCAATTACACACCTAACTAGTTCCCATCCCCTAAAATCATTCTGTCTCCTAATGAAACTGAATTCAGACAGCTCTTGAACCACTAGAGACTAGAGTTGACAACAGTTGAATAGAAGTAATTGGAAAAATAAGGAAACAAAAGGTGGCCTGGCTCATATTCACATTATCAATACGAAAGGTAAAACTTACATGGGTTAGGGGTGAGGAATAAGGATCTAACAGCAAGTAGGAGCTTGGAGATAGTTAGGGCTGGACTCCAGCCATCCTTCAAAATGTCCAGATTAACGTTGCCGGAAGAATCGACATTACAGTGATAAATTCTTGTTTTAAACATCACCTACATTCACTAAAATTAACAATATAACAATCCAATAATAATTAATAATAATTGGGAAATGACAAAAGAAATGAGTAGACACCTTGGGAGGTTTAAATGGGTAATCATTGGGAAACAGAATGTCGAGGAAAAATATACCGCCTTCATAAGGTGTCCCTGAGGGAAAACACAAATTCAATTGAATTGAATGAAACCAAAATTGAATACTAATAAGAATGAAAAAGCACCAGGAGGGCCGAGGAAGGTGGCCAGCCAGTGGTGAAGGCTGTCGGCGATGGGGCCGGCGGAGGAGAGAGGAGGAGGATGGGATTCCAACTCTTTCAATTCCTTTTGTATTCTCTTCACTGATCCCGACGTCGTCGACGCCCATGATGTTCTTCCTCCGCCGCCACCTCCAATGCTGCTCCCGGTGTTCATCATCACCTTTTTCCTCTTCTCTCTCTTACCCACCTTTTTTAATACGGAGTCACGGGATAGATTTGAGGGGGAGACTTCTAATTGTTGTTTTTTGAGTTTCATTAATAATTTTACTAGTTTTTTTTTTTTTTCAAAAATTTTACTACAGTAACTACTCCAGTACAAAAATTTGATTTAACATACAATTATTAAAAAAATCGCTACTTACTCCAAATTTTTATTTTTGCAACACTTTCTATATTGATGCAAATGCAATTCTACTTTAAAAATATACCCCCGTAGCAAATACCTAAAATTTAATTTTTTAGAGGATTATCATCAATATCAATCTTTAATAGACTCCAACATAACTAACACATTGCTTAATCATAGCTAATACCAACTGAAAACAACATAATATGGTTATAGACAAATTGCTCAACTTCGCTAATAGTTTTGAGTTTTGACACATTCCTTTTATACCTACTTCATGCTACTCTTAAATTCTTGATTAGTAGCCAACAAGTTGTGGGTTAAAGGAACAGAAACAATTTGGTGAATATTACTCTATCCAAAATTACACTTTACAAACAGAAACCATTTGGTGAATAATACTCCATCCAAAATCACACTTTACAATTTTCTTTTCCATCCATAGCAAAATAATTCAATGGCAAAGTGTATTGTTGAAGAACATCTTTTTAGAACTTAGAACCAATCAAAATCATAGTGTATTGTTTGTATATAAAAAAATAAGCGGTTAGATTAGTTTGAAGGCCAAACTTAGAATTTGTACTACCAAAACTCACAAAATAGAGTTGTTCAAAAGAAGAAAGTTGATATATGTAGGGCAAAAAATTGAATTTGATTACAGAAAGTGGAATACCTGGACACAATACATAATAACATTAACACTGACATAACACTGGTGATCAATTCCTATGGATGTCACTAACAAAGCAATCTATCTCATTAGTACTGTATTGGGTACAAAAATTCAATCAACAATTCGCATATCAAAGCCAAAACCAATGCAAAATGATTCCAACTATTACTCCTCCAATTTCAGGATATAACATGCTGCTCCTACTACCCGTGAAAGGACTTACTGGACCATATGCTGTGGGACTGAATCCCCTCCCAGCAGTTGAATTCGCACTGTTTCATACAAGGGATAGAGGGTATCAGGAACCAAATAACATGGGTGATATCAGTTCAATTTGATGATAAAAAAAAAAAAAAAAAAAAAAAAATAGATATAGTAAAACTTTACCTCCCAGTGAAACCACATGAACCATAACCTGAGAGATAAAACATTCCAAGAGAACCATCAGATAGCATGTCATGATGAGTATATATATGGAGCTATCGTTATAAATAATACAAACAAATTATAGGTTTGAAATTTACAGAAATGTTAATTTCCAAGGGGAAGGAAAAAAAAACATCTATTTGATCAGTATTAACAAAAGCTGATGGTAAGACATAATAATTACAAGTATAAAATTAACTATCAGAGAAGTTTACTACATTTTCATACAACCCCTACATGCTGAGCTACACAAGCATATCATAAATGATGTACTTGTACTAATATATATGCAGTATTATCAGGTAGGATTTTTTCTGCTAGTAATTTTGTAACAATAGCCAATTAGCAATACAAGAATCCATTGATAACACATGCAACCATGCAAGAGCTTAGGAAAGAAAGTCCACAGTGAATCTCTTCAGTCTTCACAATAACCACTTAAATACAGCAGGGGGGGAAAAAAATGACGACATGAAATATCTTGCATACCAGATGACATATACAGTATAGAGCTAATACAATATAAAACTGTTCAGAGATCTATCAATCAGGTTAAGAATCATGAAGATGGGCATAGTAACTTACTAGGATCGGCAGTAGATGTAGTTGCTGTACCATCAAAATCACAAGTTCCGCCAACACTATGCATCTTTTGATAATAATCATTATATGCATAAGAGGCATGGTTCTCTATAGTATCAGGGTAGAAACACGGCTGGCCTTCCTGAATGGCTGTACAATTAGCATGACCTTCACCACAAGCCCAGTTCAAACCCTTCCGCAGCTTGTCTTCGTCTGCACCTGACTTTGCAATACAGAATGAACCTGTGGAATTGCCTGCCATTTGACCAGAAGCACTAAGACTAAAAGGATATACAGAGGAGCCATTTGTGAAGAATAACCCCCAATTTTTCTCTGAGATAGGACCACGATGCTCATCCTCATTGAACAACTCATAAATGTATGTATTTATTGGCATGGTTGGCTGACTAGGTGGACCTGAGTTATTCATAACCCTTCTGATCAAATTATTAGTGTATGTCTGAGCATTTTTCACGGTGGCATCTTTTTCATTAGCTCCTCCATTCCATGGCCAACCAGTTTCTGTCACAACTACTGAGACCTCGGAAAAATTGAACGCATCAATCGAATAATAAGCAGCATCCACCATGGCATCAAACATGCTATCATAATGATACAGTGTGTTTGGATCCACAATCTGCTTAACTGAGGACAGAGGTTGAAAAAGAGTGTACTCAAGCGGGAAAATGCCATCTCCTTTAGTAAATCCATAATAAGGATATGCATTCAGCATAAAATAAGAGTTGGTATTCTTTAAGAACTGAAGTACTTGGTACATAGTAGAGTTCCATGATGAATTAAAGATAGCAGTTGAAGGAGGAAAAGGCCTAGAAATTATGTCCATGGAGTGAGGGGTGGAGACTTTGACCTTGAAATTTAAGTTGGATGCAACAATAGCTTTATGAATGTTATTCATGGCAGGAACAAGAATTGGAGCAGCATGCGGTATCGTAGTCAAAACCTCACTACCAACAGCAATTGCAGTGATATTAGTGTTAGGAACATGAGCTGCCACATTTTTATTTACCCATGCTGCAGCAACCGATGGTGATTGCCCTATCCCGAGAAGTTCCTCATTTGTGACACCAACCATAACTTCTATGCTCGTATTGGCAAGGGCATTGAGCATGTGAGAATCAGCATCAAAAAGCCGAACATGAGTAATCTCGTTGGCTTTAAGAATTGCAACCACTTCTGATGCTGGGGGCAATTTAGACAAGTGTGTTCCTATATCTATCCCAATGAAAGCACCTATAAAAGTACCAATCAAGTATGAAAATCACTCATAGTAAGTAAATTAAAACAATGAAGGAAAAGGGAAGTACTTGACTTGACCATCAGAATATAAGCCATACCTAAAATACAAGGAAGAAAGCCGATTAATAGCACCAGGACTCTTTGCAGCCATTTTTCAGGCATCATTCAACCTAGGTAAGCTTAAATTTTCACAATGTGCGGCTAAATTATACTGCTCAAGGGGTGAGTTATCACGTGCAGAGCTGTAAAGAAATCAAAAGTTAAGCACATAGTATAAGCAATCAACCAAGCTTAGAATGTATTCACATAAGTAGCAACAATAGTACATAAATGCATAACTTCTGACATATAAAAGGAAATAAATAGCAAACAACTAAACAGATGCATAGAAACACAGCAGTTTGCTTGAACATTATACCCCAAATCAACTTTAATCTCAAAAACACAATCAATTTTTCCTGCTTTGACTTTTTTTGGTGAGACAATCATTGTTCAAACAAGAACTTTGGGAGTAGAGAGAGTATGAAATAAAATTAGTAACAGTAGAGTAATTTATCAATAGAAAATGAAAAGGCAACTCAATGCAATCAGTAATGAACTAATGATGGCATTAAATTGGAAACTTAATTTAATTCGATGGAACCAATTGATTACAAATATTGGGTATATCCACAATAAACAAATTAGAATAATAATAAAATAATACAAGGAAAAAATATAATACCTGAAAATGAAAGTAGAAGAAAACCCAGCAAAACAAGTGACGTTTAAGCTACCAAAAACCCTGAAGAAGAAGAAATTCAACAATGATTGAAAGAAAAGTGATGAGATAGAATCTTAGAAGAAATTCAGAAAGATAGTGTGAAAACTGAAAAGGCCCACTTAGACTTAATACTCAACAATAATACTACGGAGTAATAATAATGTGAACCCAGAAATACAACGAAATTGCTAAAAAAAAAGAGTACATAGTACAGTAATAGTAATTGAAGTATAATCTAAAGATTGACACTTTTTGTTAAGCTGCATACTTACAGAGTACTTACCAATAATGGTAACTCCTCTTCTTCTCCCTATTTATCTATCAATCAATTCAACTTCTAAAATAGGAGAAGAATTTTGAAATAAAAAATGAAGATAACAAAAGAAGAAGAGGAGAGAGAAAGAAACCTGAAGAGAGAGAAGCACAGTGCTCGAAGATGAATGGAGTGAGTGAGTGAGTGAGTGAGTGGTAAAACAACGGACACAGCTATGCTTCAGTTGTTCAAAGCAGAAAGTTCTACCAGCGTGTACATTTCTGTCCCCCTTTTTCTGCTAATAATCCTATGCTTATGTCTTTTTCTTTTTTCAAACTCTTAATTATGTGAACGCTCTCTAACACAGTCAATGTAAAAACAAGGCTCCGTTTATTTTAACGAGAATCAAATTCCCTCCAGACAAAAATTAAAAAAGGCCTAATACAAGTATTAACACATACGGAGTAACTAAAAAGAAACTAGATATTACTGCTGCAATGGGGACCAGTGACCTCAAATGAGATTAGATTAGCTTAGCCAAGCAATTAGAATTAGTAGCATATAATAGCCAAAAAAAAAAAGTAGTGAATATTGTCCAAAATTAGAATGAGTGATAAATCAAAGGCAGGAGCATAGATATAAGAATAATATATTACCACCCTCTAATGGAGTTACTCTTACAGTATTTGTTTAGCTTGGAAGATGAAAAGATAGAAGAGGATATGAAACGGTAACTATATTAAATGCAATTGCTGTCAAAATTGGTTAGCTTGGTAGGAAAGTGCAGTGCAGTGGTAATATAAACATAGGTCCATGTTAAATGACCTCGGGTATGACCAAATGTACATGCTTCCATGAGATGTAGATTGCAGAATCTAAGGACAATGCCAAATGCCACCCCCTTCTTGTGTTTGTCCCTAGAATATAAAATACTGTAATACCCATATGTCGTATTAAATATTCATATCTTCCAACATTGCTCGTCTTTAACTTGTTTCTTCCTTTTATAATTCCAACTACTTCCTTCGTTACCTATTATTTATATGACATAAAAATTCCAAAATTGCAACTAATATACTTCGTATATCATAGGAAGTATTAAAAAAAATTTGTTGACAGGGACGAAGTATTAACTTGATGCAAATTTTACGAGTACTACTGGGCATAGTTCTTACTCGGTGTATCTGCTTAACCTCCTCATACCTTTACTCTTCTCATACAGATAAAGAACTCTAAAGTATTATTCTGAACAATATACGTATGATTTATGACATTAGTATTATTTTTATCTATGACAGTAACATTATAGAGAAGCTGCCATTAAAGTTGAAGAGAAGGGGTAACTAAAGTAGGCCAAAAATTGAAGAAAAGCATTAGCATTATCCGACAAAAGTTCCAGCACAAAAGATGAAGAAAAAAACACATGGGTGAAGCAGAAAAAAAAAAGATTGAATCTTCCTCTGTGCTCACACACAATCCTCAAAAGTTGATATCTTTTTACCATCCAAGTCATTTGATTGCCATTAATTTAGCAATTTATTATACCACTATGCCAAGTACTGTAAATACATTCCCCGGACAACAGGTTTGTAGAAATATTGGTTACTCTAGAGTACTAAGCTACAAAGATAATGATATAAACAGATTCCAATTCTATACTTCGTATACATTTATGTACCCGCCTCCCCCCAAAATGAATTCAGGAGTAGAATCAAGCTACTCGTAGTTCAGATCTTACTAAAAAAATCAGGCGATAGTTATTAGTACTCCCTCCGTCTCCAAAACTTCGACCCCTATTGAGTTGATTTTGCAGTTATTAAGAAAATTAAATAAAAAGAAACGAAAACACATTGAAAAGATAAATTTACTTAGGGTTTGTAAAAAAGTAGAGAGATAAAAGTATTAAAGATACATGAAAAACAAAATTTATAATATGGAAAAGCTAATTTTGCACAAATATTGTAGTAAATTGGTGGGTATTTTAATGCAAATGTGTCAATCATTTTGGAACTATAATTATATCAAAAGGGTCGAAGTTTTGGGAACGGATGTTGTATTCCATAGTAGAATAGTTTATAGTTAGGGCCCACCTCGGTTAGCTGGGGCGCATAGCATATCATCTTCAAAGCAGTCAAAAAGTGACAGTTAAACCAATAATTTCGAATCCAATCTGAAATCATTGCTCCATGCCTCTAACCATTTCTTAAATTTCCAAATTATAACTTAAAATTTTCAATTCTTAGGTTTCAAATCTCACCCATTACAGCACCATTAAAGCAAATTCAGTAAAGCCAGATAGCATCATATGTTTAGCCCAATAAAAAGAGCATAAGAAACCTACAATCCCAGTCTATAGGATGATAGTCATATGTTTATAATATGAGAGGCATTAGGCATTACTACTACTACTACGACTTTTCTAAGCTCAGGTAGTTGCCAACAACAGATATCGATTAGACTGGCAACACAGAAAGTACCATCAATAAAGAAGCCTACTGACTAGGAGATCTCTCTCTGTTCTGCTCCTTGGGATGCTCTTCAGGATATGGGCTCCTGCTTTTGTCTCGGCTTGGACTCCTAACAGGAGTTCGGCTCCTGCTTCGACTTTTAGCAACTTTAGGAGATTGCGGTGAACGAGAATACGATCTGCCACGACTCTCTCGAGAATAAGACCTTTCCCGACTCAGCTTTCCATCTTTGGGTGAAATAGACCTGTCACAAACATATGCTGCCACTTCAATGCCCATTACCAGAAACATAAATCAAACACATAAAAGCTACTGAGAAAACACGCGATTTTACAGACATAAACTACTGAAATGCATGTATGAAGAAAATGTTAATTGATGCACAATTTATTGAAATGCATGAAACGAAAGTCAATAAAAAGGGTGATCCAGTCCACAAGCTTATCAACATTGAAAGATCATCCGCTGATATTATTATGTGTGAATGTGTGATAACATGTCCGCACTTGGTGCTTCCTATACAAATCTTAAAACGACCACTGCCCAATCCCTGCTGCACACAAGGTCTTTCTACAACTACCATAAACAAAAAAACATTTCATCTTACATTAAACTTATCGAAATCCACCTCACCAAAGTATGTTGCTTTAGTCTAATATTATGCCCTTGGCATGATTCAAATTAGATTACGATTGGATTGTGGATAATCAATAAGGGGCAACAGAATGAAGTAGAGAAGTTGTGCATGAGTGCAAGTGGTGGTGATTATTGGTTTATGGCAAAAAAAAATTGGAGGGTAGGATTGTAAGAAGATAATACATTACCCAAGCAAATAAGGACATAAATTTTCTTTGCCTCCCCTACGGTAGTAGATTACCCTAATTAAGGGGGTTGGTTCATTGGTTGCTACCTCTTCCATCAAAAAATTAAGCAAGCACCATATCTACTTCCACCTTGTTTTATTACCGTATGACCCCTTCAATAATGCTCCCTAATCCAAGCATAAACTAAACTTCAAGCCTCCACCATGAGCAATTTCAGCAACAAGGCAGTTACAGTTATGACCAAGCATATATGATGACTGATGCTTCACAACTAACAGCTAAAAACAACCCCCAGCTGAATACTAAATACACACAACTCCCATCAGAACAGAAGGGGAAAATAATAGTGGAAAGGAAAAGATGCAAAAATTCTACACACATATAAAGACTGCATGGCATAACATACCGTGAGTGTCTTCGTTTGGGAGAAGGCGAATAGTCATCACGACTGTGAGATCTAGATCTGGCACGGCGTGGTGGAGGAGAACGAGAATACCGCGGTGAACGGGAATAACGAGGAGGAGAACGTCTTCTGTCATGCCGACTGCTATAAGGATAAGGAGTGTGATAGTTAGAATTCCCACAAAGGACAATAAATAACTATAAAAATATTAGTAATAATAAATACGAAATATTAACTTATATTATAGATGTAATAAAAGCTGAAGCATATAGAGAGAGAATAAAAGTAAAGAGAGCTGGGTTGCAAATAGGAAAAGGGTAGATTTATGGCAGCAATAGAGTAAAGAAAAGTAATTTAAGAAATCCAGGAACAAAGATGTAAACAGATCATAACAAATAATATACATAGAAGTGGGGGCCTTGCGGAGGCAGTGTGGAAGAAAGGAGGGAGTGGGAAATCATCAAACTGAACTGATTAATAACATAATATTGATTAAAACTTGACTTCATCACACATATTATAAACAAAAAAAAAATCCATCTGCATAGCATTGGAACTGAAGCCAGAAATGAGAGCCTTTCTTTTTAATTTTTTTAAAATAAGAAAAACAAGTAAAGGGTACAACAAAAGCCACCATCTTATCAATCTTTCAGGTGAATACATTAACTTTGGGAGACAGAATACAAAGTATTAGAAAAAAGAGCACCATGAAAACCCTAGACAAGCTAAAAAAGACCTGATTAGAGCCCTTGAAAGAAGCAGACAGCTATACTACAGATGAAAAGGCTCCAGACAAGTAATAGGAGATCCCCCAAGAAGCCAAAATCACCCTATAAATATAAGGAATGAGATAGCTAGATGAAAAAGCTCCCACACAAGTAATAGGAGATCCCCAAAGAGCCAAAATCACCCTATAAATATAAGGAATGAGATAGCTATAAAGACAGTCTTAATGAGAATAATACTTCCAGAAGGCAGGAGTTATGCCAACTGCCCAAAGAGCCAAAACCACCTTATAAATGTAAATGTAAAATCACGCCAAGGCATCAGCATAAACAATAACCACAGGGATCAATTTTTTTAACAATAAACTTTTGAGTTTCTTTAACAAATTTTTAGTCTTTGAGATAATTAACTCGTGATTATTTATACAGCCACTTAACAGTCTGTATTTAAAAAAAAATTCCCCCACATCCCCCCCAACACAAACCCTCATAGATCAAATGATTAACAATTAAGAAATAGCTTGTTGCAAAAGTCCATCATGCTACACATCACAATGCTCATATGATAAGTAAATGGCCAGAAGAATGCTACAAGGAATGAAAAGACCATGGTCTACCTTGTCCGCTCCCTTACTCTCATCTCAGTCGGCTTCTTCCTGTTCTCCTCAGCAAACACAACTGTCAATTCACGACCTTGAAAAATCTGGCCATCCATCCGATGCTTAGCATCAGCAGCATCTGCAGGGTCAACATATTGCACGAAACCAAATCCACGAGGCGCTCTGCAAATGGCTAAGAAGATTCTCAAAAATCAACTTGTAAAACACAACTGAAAATAGAGTGATTATTATACTCGTGATTATATCGGAATAGGGAATAGGTTCCTCCAATATGGATGATTGTGGTAAGGACTTAAAAAGCAAGCACAAGGCTGCTGACCTTGCAAACATCAGTTTTAAGAGTGACTTGAAATTCTTCAAGACTTGAACTCTTCACAATGTGTTCAAATCCAACTTCCTTCCAATCTTCAATACCATTAACAACATCTTCCACAGTACTCTTATTACTCGATTGATCTCTATAAACATTGATTTCACTGTTCAATCTAAAAAATTGTAATTAACCGATGTAACAGGGGGCATTAAATACATCATGGAAAATGAATCCATGCTCAAGGATAAAAGATCGCTACAATTCAGTTTAGGTTAAATTGTATTGTATGAACCTTCAAAAATCACACTTTTTAACCAAAGCAATATATTCCAAACAAGGGAAACAAATAGAGTCAGGACTCAAAACCGTGTAATTTATGATCATTTACCTTGGTCTGTACAAAAGCCCACTCGATTGATAAATATTAATTCAGTAAAAAAAAAAAAAAAAAAAAAAACTTCTGTTAAGCTACTTCATAGGTAAGTCTAAATTATATTATTAAACTGGCTTAAATGTTGAACAGACAAAATATCCACCAACAGAACTGCTCCATATGTTAACCAAGCACACAGATTCCATATGAGAACACTCCCCAACATTATCATAAAGGTACTCATTGAGGAGCTGTAATGGGTTTATTATGTGAAAAGAGTAGCTATGAACTTACCCGGTGTAATAATCCCTAGGCAAGTAAATGTCCTTGAGCGGACCAAACTGACCAAAAGGCCTGCGGAGATCTTCTGGTCTGCAAAGGAGCCAGAATGTAGTGAGCAACTACAAGAATCGGCAATATCAGAACAACTTTAAACAACAATCTCCTTCTATATACCATAAGTTTTATCAAAATAACGATTGAACATATAAGGTATAAAATGATACGAGTACAAAAGAAACAGGTAGTTTAATAATGTGGAGCAGTCCATAGAAGTTGAAACTGTAAAAGGCAAATCTAATCCAGCACCAACAACGGTAGGAAGCAAAAGCATTAAGAAGAAATAACTGGTTGGCGAGAAAACCTGCAATCGTGGCGGAGATTCCGAACTAATAAACTAGTAGAAGGATCTCTACCGCGGCCAGAATAGCGACCCCTAGGAGGGGGGCTGTGTCCTCTTCTGGAGTAGCCACCTCTAGGGGGTGAAGGGCTGTAACTTCTTCCCCTCATAATCACAATCACAGTCTAAATAAACAATGGGAAAGCTCTTAGTTTACTTGTATACAATACCAGTATCAAACATTCAAACAACAAAAGGCACAAAATCATACTGTAATAACAACTTGAAACCCTAATCTGCCGGAAATGGGAAAATAACCTAACAAAACAAAAAAAAAAAAAAAAAAAAAAAAAAATCATCCAATTTCAAAAAAATTCAGAGAAAATACATGTAATAAAATCGATCAATCTTGTCAACAATTTGAATTTGAATATGAATATAAGGTTCAAATTGAATTTGTATCTCCGTTAACCTAATCGTTTAAAACTAATATGAGAGAGGAATTGAATTAAACAGCGAATAAACAAGAAGAAAAAAAACAGTTAATTAGACGAATAAAAGCTACCTGAGAAACGAATTTGGATAGAGAGAGCAGAGAGTAATGGAGGTCTGCTGAAGATTCAAGTGGAACGACGAGAGATAATACGAGTACAGAGTATTTGCTGCAAATGATGTGCGGCAACCTCAGGGTCCTATAATGCGGGTGACATTTTTTATTTTTCAACGTTTGGGCCTTTTTATTGCAAGTTAACGAATGGGCCTTGGCCCAATACAATTACAACCGCTGTGCTTTTAATTTTTTTGGTTGGAGTCTAGGAGGGCAAATTTTAAGATACATCACACCTATATTTTTGAACAATTAGTAAAAAATATGAACAATTGCAAATTTTGAACATGTAGTAAAAACATCTAAACATCGCAAAATTTGAACATTTAGTTAAAAAATCTGAACAATTGCAATGCATTATGCCTATACTTTTGAACATTTAGTAAAACAATCTGAACATCGCAAAATTTGAATATTTAGTAAAAAAAATCTGAATAATCGCAAATGCACCACGCCTATAATTTTAAACTTTTAGTAAGAAAAAATATGAACAATAACAAATTTCAAACATATAGTAAAAAAAATCTGAACAATTGCAGATTTTGAATTATTACGGGTCAAACTAATTTTGAACTGACTCGTAATAATTCAATAGTTTTGTAATATAAACTGAACATTTAATGTATATAAACTGAACATTTAATGTATACAAAATGAACATTTCTTGATAAAATATGAACATAAAAATTGCATGTTTATGTTCAATTTTTGTGACGTGTTTATATTTTTTATACTAAATGTTCAAAAGTATAGTCGTGGTGCACCTATTTCTAGGTGTACCATGGTGCACATAATAATTGGTCTAGGAGAGTAAGAAGAGTTGAGATTTTATGGATCTATGATAAACAAATAATGGACCTCAAATATGTAGGCATAGGTAAGGGTATGAATTCGAATGATCGGATCGGGTATGATATGGTCGGGTCGGGTTGGGTCGATTTTTAAAGTTAAGTCATACTAAATTGTCATGTCCACGCGAGTCCATATTTAAATCGGATATTTTTCGGAATGAGTCGGGTCGGGTGTGCTTTTGACACCTGTGTAGATTTTGATTACTATACAATTTTAACATTCAATTGTTTTGAATATGAATTGAAATCTTACCAATTATCTGGGAATGAATTAGGAGGGAAGAAGTTTTGTTTGGCTTGGCATTTGAAGTCTCGCTATATCGCCTATAACATCTTTGTGTGAGAATGTATGTGTGTGGAGTCGTTAAAAATTACTCCCTTTGTTTCATAATGATGTTCCTGTTTCGCAAATCGATGCAAAATTTTATTCATCTTTGACCGCAAATATCTTTAATCTCACACTAGCAAAAATTATAAAAGTTAGATATTAATAATCTACTCACCAAGACGAATCAAACTAGATCCTACATGACTACATTTGCTCTCATAGATTAAGAGAAATTTAGAAGATTCTCTCTTTCTTAAAAAAGTCAAAGATTCAAAACAAGAACATCATTTTGGAACTGAGGGAGTAACTTAACCTATCAAGTATGAACAATCCAACAACAGAATGTGTAAGCATGAACATATATATAGTGAGTCATAATCAAGAACCATCTAGCTCCAAACTCAGTGTGTGTTGCTATGTGGAATATGGAAGGATGGATAATCTATTTATTTGGGTAAATGGAGTTCATATCTAATGACAAACAAAAGGGATGTCAAACTATAACTAGGTTTAGTAAAGCTACATAAACTTAAAATAGTCTATGTATCAAAGTAGAAATGGCAAAAATAAGTGTATTAGCGTAAGCAATGTGTACATTAGGGAATGAATATCTCTTGTATTAATAGAATTTAGCACCATGATTACACCAAAATATCCATTTGAAGGCAATGTTCTCAAATTTTCATGATACAACAATTCAAATCATCATTTGGTTTGTTCATTTATTCTTTATTTTAGCCTTCTTCCAAAACCTAAGAAGAAATAGAGGTATTATCACAATTATTCACAATCCAAATTATGAAGTCCTTTTAATTTTAAAATTTGTTCATAATCAAAATAACATTCAATTGTGTTTTTTTTTTTTTTAAAAAAATAATACACTTATTGAATCTTAAATTTGAATGTTTTTGTTATCACTTTTTCTAGTTCCAACAGGTAAAGTGTTTTAAAGGCAGTATTATTGGTGGCTTTGAGGTGGGAACATCGGAGAAATTGATGATGTGGTTGTTGGATATTATTGTTGTAAGACGGTGTTGACTTATTGGTAGACAAACAAAGATTTATAGTCTAAAGTCTAGTGATTAGTGATGATTCAAAGATTCAGTCAAAGTTGGACATGCAATCTTCTACTCGTACCAAGTTAGGGAGTAGTGCACTTAGCTAACAGCTGGAGTACTGTGCTTTACTTGACAACAACCCACCAAAAAGGCAAAAACCGACGCCCTTTCAATCTTCAATCTTTGATTTTGATGCTTAACTTTATGTACATCTCATTTTGTCCAATCTTACAACCGAGTATTAAACCGACCTCTTCTCTTTTAACTTATTTTTTGTTTGTTTTTGTTCTTCATAATAATACTGGAGTTATTAGTTGTTTATGTTTGAACATGCTAACTAGCGGTGCATTACTGCATTGCCTGCACATGTCAAGTCATTAGATCAAATTCAAATATTCAAGGATTAATGTATTGATATTCATTTATACCGGCCAAACAATTTTTTTGGGTGAATATATGTCTTTTACTCTATTTCTATTATATTTTATAATTGTTTCTTAATAAATTTCTATATATTACCGTGTCATAAATTTTTCTTAATACATATGAATGTACTGACCACATCAATATATACACAACATTGTAATTATATTTTGTATGACTTCGTACTTGGTAATATAATAAGATTCGACAACTAGCTCAATGCGAAACCTAGAACTCAATGTATCCACATATTGAGCTCAATCAACCAACATTGTTGATTATTAAAAAGTTAGCGTATATAGAAATAGAAACAGAAAATGAATTGGAATTGTAATTGTGGGTATGAGGATAGCAACGTAACGCGTGAAATTGACATGATATGATGGTGTGATGTTAAGTTTGTAGCGAACACATTAAAAAGGCCATTTATGTTTTTGAGTGAATCAAGCTAGTAGTATGAGCTGGTGCCCTGCAACTGCTCTGCTCTTCAATTTCTCATCAAACATTTTGATCCAATACATCACTACCGTCCATCAAAGTCTCGCCTTCATCTCAAGATATTTAATGGACGGTGGTGATGCTCATGTTGGGGGTCACTAAAGATGCACCTCACGATGTTTATGTCCCCACTAATATCTTCATTTTCGTACGGTCGGTCTAATAGGATTATGATTTCAACTACGTATCAATTATGTTGTTAGATCATCTTTTCTATAATGAGATTCCAAGTACTACTTTAAGATTATGTCTCAATTATCACAAATTCAATTAGACTTTTTTACATTTGGCTTTCAACTAAAAGTTTACTAGGACCCCCTTCAAGTAAAACTATCGGTTATCTATTGCTTAATTGCTTTTTTCAATTTAAACACCAAAAATGAAACAGTATTAGATTCACACCAATTCTAAAACACTAATCAAGCATCCCTTAAATGATACTCCGTATTAAGCTCCTTTTACGTTGTTCTCATTGATGAGACTCTTATGTTCTGTTTGTTTTGTGGGAAATGGAAGAAGGGGTTCAGAATTTTTGGAGTTCTAGTCCCTTTATTGAAAAGGCCATGTTTTTTGGTAATTGGGTGATTGTTGGTTGGTCTTGAAAGATAGAACAAATAGTAACAGAGATCAGAGACAGAGCTGAAAGATATGAGTGGATGGAGGTGAGTGGCGCGATGTGGGTTGATATATAAAAATTTAGAAAAATCTACTACATCCGCTTTTATTTAGTTCCAACAAAAGGTATTATTTGTAATTATATTTATTTGTAGTTTATCTCGGTATCCTTTTACTTGTAAATTTATAGAAAATGGATAATTTATTTAGGGAGCTTCCACAAAATTGATGTGGCGTGGGAAGTACTCACCAAAATAGTAAGAGATATTAGCTTCCACAAACAGAAAATATGAGTTGTACTGCCTGGTACTGACGTATTATTTGTAATTTTCAAAATTATTGTATTTATCCGAGTCCATTAAAATTTTGTAGTCGTCCACATTCTCCATGTGTAAAAGTGGAGTGGTGTGGTGTGGTGGCTGGGAGAAAAGATATGAGAGAGAGGAAGAAGAGAATCAGGGAGAAAGGCAAAAAACGCATTAGACAGTGCAAATTGAATAAGACTTACACTTTGTTTGGATAGGAAGAAATGGAAGGAAAAGAAGAGAAGAGAAATGGAAGAGGACAAAATCTCTTGTTTGGGTAAAAGATTGGGGGAAGGAAGGAGAGGGAGGGATCCATTTTCCCTTTCTCTATAATAACCATAATCTCTCCAAAATTGGAGAGATTTGGAGGGAAGTTGGAGCTCACCTCCCCCTCCCTTTCTTTTCCCTTCCATTCCTCCATTTTTCCTCCCCTTCTTTTCCTTCCTTCTTTGCTATCCAAACAAAGCGTTAAGGATCAAGAACTCCACTTCACTAGTAATAGTGATGAAGGATCAAGAGCTATTTAATTTCACATGATTTTTATCCAATACTATCAAAATTATAATAATGCTAAGGGCAAAAAACGCATTCGAAAATGCGGTCTGAGTAAGAAGACTAAGAACTAACAGTAAATAGCGCTTCATCACAGAGAGTAAAGGGGTTTAACGGTTCAAGGATGAAGAGCTATTTAATTTTACATGATTTTATCCAATACTATCAAAATTATACTGTATTACTAGTATGCTATTTTCAAAATTTCTGATGAAAGTACTCAGTAACTCACTGTCATGGATCAATACTCTTTTGTAATAATAGTTGCTACATTAGGTATGTAAATGTCAACGCACTCATTTATTTAACAACAATATTAATCAACAAGGATAAGTAAGAGACATAAGTCAGCAGCAACAAAAACATCAATGACTACCATATATCAAGTCTTTAAATATAAATTTATGATGGCTGCATGGCCTGACCTGTTCAAGCTATATGACCTCCCACTACAGAAGTATGAATAACTTTTAAAA